TATCACATAGCAGCTTCATAGGTCCCTCACATTTTATTTTTAGATCATCAAGTACAATTTTCAGCCACAGTTACTCACAAATGCCTTGAGCCATAGCTCGAAATTCAGCTTCTGCACTTGATCTGGCGACCACATCTTGTTTCTTACTTCTCCATGTCACCAAGTTACCACAAAGAAACATGCAATAACCAGTGGTAGAACGACGGTCAGTCACGGATCCAGCATAATCAGCATCTGTGTAGACTTCTAAAGATAGATTGTCATTACGTCGGAATAACAACTCTTTACCAGGAGTACCTTTCAGATACTGAAGAATTCTCTCTACTGCCTGCATATGTTTCTCCTTTGGATCGTGCATAAACTGACTGACAACACTAACGGCATAAGCTAAGTCTGGTCTAGTATGGGCCAAATATCAATTTCCCAACTAGCCGTTGATATTGTCCTTTATCAACTGGAGGACTCTCCTCTTCATAGCACATCTTGTGATTCTGCTCAATAGGAGTATTAGAGGGTTTACACCCGAGCTTTCCTGCTTCTTTGAGAAGATCAAGAACATATTTCCTCTGGCTGATAAAGATTCCTTTGCTCGAATGAGCTACTTCTATCCCTAGGAAATATCTCAGTTTCCCAAGGTCTTTGACTTCAAACTCAGAGGCAAGCCGTGTTTGCAGAATCTGTCTCTCCACAAAATCATCACATGTGATAATAATATCATCAACATATACAAGGAGCACAGTAAGCTTCCCATTTTGGGAGTGCTTGAAAAAAAGTGTGTGATCTCCTTGACTTTGTTTATATCCTAAGGTCATCATAACCTTAGTAAACTTTCCAAACCAGGCACGAGGTGACTGCTTCAATCCATACAAGGCCTTTTTTATTTTACAAACTTTATTTTCTCCCTTCACAGAATCAAAACCAGGCGGAATTTCCATGTAGACTTCTTCTTCTAACTTACCATTGAGGAAAGCATTCTTCACATCAAATTGGTTTATATCCCAATTGTAATGGGCAGCAAGGGATAACAAAACTCTCACCGTATTCATCTTTGCAACTGGAGCAAATGTTTCTTCATAATCAATTCCATAGGTTTGAGAGTAACCTTTGGCAACTAATCGAGCTTTGTATCTCTCAAGAGTTCCATCAGAATTATATTTCAGGGCATAAACCCATCTGCACCCTACTGTTTTCTTTCCAGTAGGTCTATCAATAATCTCCCATGTTTTATTTTTCTCCAATGCATTCATCTCCTCTTGCATGGCTTGAGCCCAATTCCCATCTTTCAAGGCTTCATGTACTGATTTTGGGATTGCAATAGAGTCTAGTGCTGAAACAAAGCTTTTGTGCTGCACAGACAGATTAGCAGTGGAAACAAAATGAGAGATAGGGTATTGAGTACAAGAGGAACAAGATTTCTTGGGACATGATCTTTTTCCTTTTCTAAGAGCAATGGGTAAATCATCAGAATCAGTAGTAATGGGTAAGTCATCAGAAGTATCATGATCAGAAATATGAGATTCAGGACTTACCAGTGGTTCAGACGATTGAGGTTGCTGCTGAGGCAATGTGGGATGTGTATCAGTCATAGGAGGATCAGTCACAGGAGGATCAGACATAGACACATTGGGAACAGGAACAAGAGGAAGAGACGCTGACTCAGGTGAAGGAGTAGACACTGAAGATTCAAATTCAAAGAAGGAAGGTGATGAGTCTTCTAGTGAATTATTCTCCCCCTGAAGATGAGGACCTTGGAAAAAGGACTCAGATTCCTGAAATGTAACATCCATAAAAACAAAAAATTTCCGACTACCAGGGTGATAACACTTGTAGCCCTTCTTATCAGGAGCATATCCAAGGAAGACACATTTAAGAGCCCTAGGATCCAACTTACTGCGATGCTGTTTATTAATATGAACAAAGACAACACACCCAAACACTCGAGGAGGAAGACTTTGCAAAGTTGGAACAGAAGGAAAAAAAGAAGTCATGGAGTGAATAAGACTTACATGATCAAGAACCCGAGTGGGTAGACGGTTGATCAAGAACGCTGCGGTAAGAATGGCATCTCCCCAATAGCATTTGGGTACATGTGTTTGAAACAGTAAGGCACGAGCAACTTCAAGAAGGTGATGATTTTTTCTTTCAGCAACCCCATTTTGTTGAGGGGTGTCTACACAAGTAAGTTCATGAATCATACCTTGATTTCGTATAAATTGGGAAAAACTGTGATTAACATATTCAGTACAATTATCTGTTCTTAGTCTCTTGATTTTTCTACCAAATTGGGTCTCAACCATTTTATAAAATTGAAAGAACAGATGTGGTACCTCAGACTTTTCATGCATTAAGTAAACCCAAGTTACACGAGTGCAATCATCAATAAAAGAAACAAACCATCTATTTCCAGAAGCATGAGGGACTTTAGAAGGACCCCAAACATCAGAATGAATAAGATCAAAAGGTTCAACACTCTTAGTACTACTAGAAGAAAAAGACACACGATGATGCTTAGCAAACTCACAAACATCACAATGAAAAGACTCAACAGGCTTAGATAAAAACAATGACGGAAATAAAGACTCGAGTAAACCAAATGGAGGATGTCCCAAGCGCTTATGATGAAGCCAAATCAAAGAATCAGCAGTTGATTGACCATGAGACATCAAGATGTGATCTGTTACTTTATTTGCGGGAGATTGTGACACCAGATAGTACAACCCACCTTGCTCTTTAGCACTACCAATCGTCTTCCCCGTGGCGAGATCCTGAAAAACACAATGGGTATGGAAGAAGGTTACAGTACAATTCAGATCTTTTGTAATTTTATGAATAGAAAGAAGATTCGTGGAGAGTTTAGGAACATGAAGAGCATCTTTAAGATGTAAGGACTGCTGTAAGTTTATGTCACCAGAACTCGCAACTGATGTATGTGAGCCATCAGCTATGGCTATAGTATGAGTTCCAATGGTAGGATGATAAGAAGCAAAGGAGTCAGCACAACAAGCCATATGATCAGTAGCACCAGAATCAACAACCCAGGAATGTTTAAAATCATTACATGAAGAAAGGAAAGAATGAGTTTTGGGGCTCATACCAGTCAAAGCCAAAGCACTAGTATCATATGGCTTACTCAGATAATCAAGGATGGTTCGGAGCCGTTCTAACTCATCTAGACGAAATGCAGGTTGGGTCTCATTAGGTGCAGGAGTTATTCCAAAGGAAGTAAAATGCGCTTGACCACGCATCCTTGCCATCTTTTCTAAGACAGTTTGCTTTCCATGGAGGCGAAAGCATAAATCCTTGATATGACCTGTTCTTTTCCAATAAGAACACCATCGATCATCTCTCTTAGGTTTAGAAGATGCACCATCATAAAACTTTGTAAAAGAACTCCTTTGAGAAGAGGCCATACTGCACAAAAAACAGTCAACGAAAAAGGCTCTAAGAAGCCAAAAAATTCGGAAAAAATACCAAACGATGTCCGATATGAGAAAACAACACAGATCCAAAAAGAGAACAAGGAGACGAGAAGAATGGTGGTGGTCCGGTCCAGAAACACCGCCGGACGCGCCTCCACGCGCCGTAGAAAGCAGCTGCGTGTGGGCTTCACTCTCGGACAAAGAGGCGGCGCGTGAGAGCGCGTGGCTAGGCTTCTCCGGCTGAAATTTTTCCGGTGTGGTTGTCCGGTGAGCGCGCACCTGTCTGTGGGTGGTTGCGGTTGAAAAGTCACCGGAAAGGGTTCTAAACGGTGAAGACAGAACTGGTTGAAGGCGGTCGGAGGTGTTTGGGTCGTTTGTGGCGGAGGAACGTTGCGTAGAATGATAGAACGAAAAAAAAGAAGGTCAACAGTGGTCCCCTTGGTCCCCAAAATTTTTTTTCCGGTGGCGGCTGATGGCGGCAAGAGGCAAAGAAATTAGGGTTTTGTAAAAAAAAGACAATAGGCGCGGAAGCAGAGCCCTCAGGATCGAGAGCTCTGATACCAACTTGAAAAAGGGTTATGAAATATTATTGATTTGTATTTGAATCTGTACATAGGGGTCTCTATTTATAGAGACTTCTTGACCTAATTTTGACCTAATGGGCTTGGCCCAATATACAAGTAACGGACTAAATAAATACAAATAAATGACTACATAATTACTATTTACAACATTTTCTATCTTGAAATTTCTCTCGCCTTTGCAGCTGGGCCAGCATTTTACAACTACACCTTTATGTTTATCTTCAGCGCTATTACCTTGTTTGCTTGTAGGCTAGCAGGAATTAGCTCTGGTTTGAGCAATTGGTAATCCTACATACCTCTCTGCATTTGATTTTGTACTGACTGATTGATATCTTTCTCTGGCTGCAGGTGTATAGTCTCACCGTATTTTGTTATGCTCTTTATATCTTCCATATCCTTACGTAGCTTTTATTTTCCAGGCAAGCAGTTAATGCCATTTACTAATTCTTTCTGACTTTCTTTAGTACATATGCATGAACATCGTATGATGTTGTGCTCTTGCTGCAGGATTAAGACTCCCTTTTAGGTGACGTGTATTATTCTGAGATGAAATATGCTGGATTCTTTGATGCTGACTGGCTTGAATTCCTTGACCACTTACAAATGTAAAGACATCTTTCTACCTGTGCAGTGTGTAAATATTTCGATTCTGATTGCTTTTATGTCCTGAGTGAAGGAATCTTTGTTTCGAACATATCCAACACCAGGACCAGTCGTTGTAGTTCCTTTATTCATACTGTTAGAAAATAATATAAACCATTAAAAAAATTTCATTTAATAGTTTAAGTTTCTAGATTGAATTGGTTCTTTACATGGTATCACAGTCTCATGTCCCGGGTTCGATCCTCATCGCCCCTCACTTTTTCTTATGGAATTTCTTAGCACAGGTAAGTGAGCTTGTGCATCATCTACCTTTCAAACTCACTGGGCTCTCATGTGAGGAGATGTGTAAAAGAATAATATAAACCATTAAAAAGACCATCACCTGATAGTTTAAACTTTTGAGTTGAATTGGTTCTTTACACGTACTAAATGTGACATGACTTAGAAAACTGGATCATTGTGGTCACTCCATGGAACAAAAATTAAAAGCAACAAATTGCAAATCCTATGGATATGGATATTTACAGATTGAGCCGAATAGCTACTCAGTTTACAAGAATTTTTTTGTACGACTACCAAATTAACCCCTACCCCAAAACAAGGTAAATGTGTGCTTAAATAGAACATCTTATACAGAACTTAGAAGCCACCGACCAAGGATAGCTCCGCTAGTCAAAGCCCAGCTATTGAAATCGAACAAGTTCTTCAATGGAGTGTTCTTGCTGAAATCCAATGTAACAGTCGGAGACTAAAATCAGTTTTATACCCTGCAAAACAATAAATATTTACTTAGCAAAATATACAAGCAAAAGGGTATTAATTACAAAGAAAGGAAGCCTCACAATCCAAAGTCAAGCATAAATTATAAGTTGTAATGAAAAAATCTATTAAAACAAATGTTTGTTTTCCAAGATTATCACATCATTTATCCATGCTTCAAACCTGCTACAAACCTAAATCTTGAAAATAAGATGACACAAATCTGACTTATAAAGGAAATAAATAATTACATATATTTACAACAGAGGATAAAGGACGGTTGCTTGAGGCATAGCAAGCTCACTGTAAAAAAGAGCTATTTATATGAGATGAACCCATACCCCCAACTAGTTTGGAATGAAGGTAATGTTGATGTTACACACAGTCCATCTAATTTACACCGAGTGCATTAAGTTCAAGGGCTGAAGGGGAACCACAGTTTGGATGTAGAGAAATCATATCTACCTGAAGACTAGCTGGAGTTAGAGGCAACTTCATGGAGGTAACCAAGTGATCAGAAAAAGAAACTCTTTTCAAAGCATAAAGCTCAGACGTAGAGGTATTGCCAAGAACCAACCACCATTGCTCCTCTTTTATCTGTAATCAAGAAAATTGTAAATTATATTTAACAGGCACACAGACTACAATCATAGCAGAACATTTTTTTTTTTTTTAAAAGACCTTTGGAAATCGAGGTACAAATGCTCTGGAAGAGTGTCGTCTAGAATTGGTCTTCTCTAATCTGATGTATAATGTCTGGGACTTCTCACCATCATTGTCCCTCATCTGAAGCTTTAATTTCATCTTAACATGAGGGAAGTGCTGTAGATCCTGGTTGAAAAAAAGAGAAACAAACATATAAACTGAAAGAGGTGACATGCCTGCCAGATAAAATAAAGCACTATTATGAAAAAGAACATCTGTATTCAGGAATTGCTTATAACAACCTACAAAGGGACTTTGAAATGTGGACACAACCTAAACACCCAAAGGCTCATACAAAAATAACAAATTATCCTAATCTATTATGCATCATTAACACCCTATAAGATATTTTGTAGATATTCTAACACATCTCAATCATGCACAACTCCCCATGGTTTTCAGTATTATCCATCAGCAAAAAAACAAGTTTCCTCCATTTTCTTCAACGTACCCCAGTTCCCTTCCCACAAGGAAAAATGTTTTACATTACTATCAAAATCAAACATTAGCATACAATAAAAATGTAGGACAAGCAAAAAAATATTAGGACTGTTTACCTGATACAATCTTGAAGCCGGGAAATTTGTTGTTACAGTCTGCAATGCTGCCTTGGGAATATCTAGTAATTCCTGTACACTAGAAATTCCACTTCTGCTGAGTGTACTTATTAGATCAACATTCATGCATGGCAGCATCCATAAGGAAGAGTCCTTGTCAAACCACAAACCCTAAAACCAGACCACAAGATTTAAGTGGATTGAATTGTAAATGATATTTTGGATAAAGAAAAGAAAAAGAGAGAGAGAGACCAGGAGCCATGTTAAATGCTGTACTGCTGTTCTAAGGAGTAATATACGCAAGATTTTATTGAAAGCACAATCTATCCTTTCACTGAATGATCTGATATGACGATCAAAGTTATATTTTGAAAAATATGTAGCAGTACTATCAAAGTAAAGAAAGTACTTTTTGGATATAAAATTAAGAGTGCACATATGGTAATTTATTTTCCTTTGATGACAAGTTACAATGTAAATCATGGGAAAAGGTATGTTGCATCGATTACTAATATTATTCCCCTCCAAATCAGGAATAAGTAGTAGAAAATTAAACAGAAAATAATATTATTAAACTATCACACGAGAATATTTCCATTGCCTTTAAAATTTTAAAAATCAAGTATTCATTTTTCTCTTCCATTAGCTAAGCAAAGCATGAAGGAAATAATCTGTAACAATAAAATTCTACAATATGTGGATCATATTATTCAAATTACAATTTAAATCATTGAAAAGGGCATGCTTCATTCAAAAGTAAGTACTCATTAGTCAACTAAGCAAAGTGACATGGAAACAATCTGTAGCTCTAAAATTGTAAGATTTCGAGGTCATGGACCTCATGTTTTTGGGGTTAGTAAAATGATTCGTGTACCCAAAAATTCTGCATGTAATCTAGTACAACAGTTCCAAGTGGGGCAGTTAAGCAGCATTTTTGCTCAATATGTCTAATTAAAGAATGAAACATTATGTTTAGTGTATGTTTGGACTTCGGACTAGTTTATTTTGCTTTTAGAAAAGGTGACAATCAAAATGTTCAAGAGAAAGCTTTTGGCTGGAAAGCTTTTTTTGAGCGCAAAATAAACACGACCAACTTGCAATTAGCTAGTTGTATGCAAAATTATCCAACTGCTGATAAAGAAGAAAGGTCAGCTGCAGAACAAAACAGAATAAATACCTGCATGACCATTTGCAGAAGATGCATGCAAGTAATTGAGCTTGAAAGCCAACCACTGTTTGCACATATATCAATCATGGCCTGAATTATGCGTATACTCTGATCTAATACTGATTTCAAGTCTGTGACATAGTCACTAATTGGTAACTCCAATTGAGAAAAATGAGCCTGTCTCCAAAAAACTTGTCTGATCACAAATATAAACAAAAGAAATAAAGAAAATCAAAAGAGAAAATTTACCATGCTAAATTCATGGTTAAAGACATGACTGACCTGAAATAGAAGATTTGCTTTGACATGAGGGTCATCCAGACGGTTCTTATCCACTGGATATTTAACTTTCTCAGACAGTGCTTCATTGTATTTTTCCTGTGACAAAAGGATGATATACATGAAAAAGAAGAAGAGGTACTTTTTATGGCTTAATTCACTGAGACTGTTGAAATTATAGGACTTAAGTAGAGAAGGAGAAAAAGAGAGAACAAACTCTGAATAATTGAATATAATATTGATGCGTGTAATAATGTGTTATCAAAGACAGAGAGAGGGCTATTTTAACAAAAGAATGTAAGTAAAATAGAGCATCGGATTTCAGGGAAATCAATAGTAAAATAGTGAACAGATGGGTCACAGAGGATGGTGTGGCTCTCGTACCATGTTGAAATTATCGGGATTTAAGTAGAGAAGGAGGAAAAGAGAGCACAAACTCAAAAAATTGAATATAATATTGATATATGATGAGTAATAGTGTGTCATTAAAGACAAGGCACTAAGCTCAATTCATACCAACATAATCTATTCATACTGACATAAGACTCCTTTCCCTAACTAAATAAGGAAACAAATTATGAAATATATTAATGTATGGAAACAAATCTTAAGAGATAAAATAGGATTTCTTAAATTACTTTTGAGATACAATCAAGATATCATAAGATATTTTTTATATATTCTAATAGAGACAGACTACCATCCAATTGTAGCTTGTGGCTGCAATAGGTAATGCATCACATTGTGTTTTTGCTCCGTGGCCGCTATCGTGGAGAATCATGATTTCTCTTCCTTCTTTTTTTTTGGATATTCTCATGATTTCTCTTCCTCTTTTTTGCATTAGAAATATTATAGGATTCGAAACCCTTCTTCCTCATTCCTTCAATGCAAAAATCACTTAAACACTGACCTCCGTTTCAAACTCCAGCTGAACCAAACCCTGAGCCACTGCTCCTCAGTGTTGTTTCCGGCCAAGCCTGGCATTTTCCGGCACGCCCACTGCTCGCTAGTGTACTCAGCTAATGTGCCCACCCATTCATGTCAAGGTCTCTGTTCACGCAGGTATTTTGTTGTAAATATTAGAGTTATTTCTAGTTAATATTGTAATTATCTGTTCCCCTTTTCTTTTGAGGATTTCTTTCCATTTTAGTATTTGCGTTTATTCCTTTAAGCCCATTAGGGTTATAATTGAAAGAAATATTTTTGTATTATAAAACTGTATGTTATCTGTAGTCTGTACAAGAGTTCTCTATTTAAAGAGAATAAAAAACCTAATGGGCTAAGCCCAAATACTAACTATTACAAAATTACAAAATAATAAAATAATTCTAATATTTACAATACTCCCCCTCAAGCTGAGGAATGAATATTTATCATTCTCAGCTTGCTAGTAACCTCTTGAAACCTATCATTAGGAAGACCCTTAGTCAAGACATCAGTCAATTGACAACTAGACGGAATATATGGAGTAGTGATTAGTCCGCTATCTAGTTTCTCCTAGATGAAGTGGCGATCAATCTCAATATGTTTGGGGCGGTCATGTTGGACTGGATTGTGGGCTATACAGATAGTTGACTTGTTATTATAGAATAACATGGGAAGTCATTGGCAGGCCAAACGGAAAAAAAGTGTTGTAAATAATAGTATTTGTTTATTTATTTTCATTCTAGAATCTTCTTCGGGCTTAGCCCATTAGGTTATTTAGTCTCTTTAAATAGAGAGCAATTGTACAGTTGTAATACACAATTTTATCAATAAGACCATCTCTTTTTTCAACTTGGTATCAGAGCTCTCGATTCTGAGGGTTTTGCTTCCGCAAATCACCGCCTTTAAAAATCAAACCCTATTTGCCTCTCGCCGCCACAAAGCCGCCGCCGGAAAAAAATTTCCGGGGACCTTTTGGACCGCGAGGACCCCTGTTTCACTTCGTTTTCTTAGATCTATCATTCTACGGAGGTTTCTTTTTCATCAGACGACCGGAACAACTCAAAAAAAAAAAAAAACACTGTTCACGGAGGTACTGTTCATCGCGCACTGTTCGCGGGGTACTGTTCACCGCGCACTGTTCATTGGTACTGTTCACGCCAAAAAAAAAAAAAAACTTTCCTACTTGGTTTTGTATCCTCTTTCCGGATCTGTGTTTTTCTCTTCGGTCAGACATCATTTGGATTTGTGTTTGTGTGATTTTCACCTCAATATTATGGCGGGTTCAAATGGTGTATCTTCAGAATTTATTTCTATTCGCCGAGATGAGTTGGAGCAGATTCGTACTAATTCTCTGAGTAAGCCATATAATACCAGTGCTTCGGCTATGACTGGTATGAGCTCCGCTACTCATTCTTTTCTTTCTTCTTGTACTGATTTTAAACATTCTTAGGTTATTGATTCTGGTGCTACTGATCATATGGCTTGTTGTGCTGACTCCTTTCTTTCTTATAACCCTACTATTGGCACCCATACAATAGCTGTAGCTGATGGCTCACACACATCAGTTGCGGGTTCCGGTAACATATATTTACAGCCTTCCTTACATCTCCAAGATGTTCTTTATGTTCCCAAACTCTCCACTAATCTTCTTTCTATCCATAAAATTACCAAAGATTTGAATTGCATTGTAACTTTCTTCCCTACTCACTGCGTTTTTCAGGATCTCGCCACGGGGAAGACGATTGGGGGTGCTAAAGAGCAAGGTGGGCTGTACTATCTGGTGCCAGAATCATCTGCAAAGTATGTTAAAGATCACACCTTGATGACTGAGTCTCAGTCTACTGCTGAGTCTTTGATTTGGCTCCATCATAAACGCTTGGGGCATCCTCTATTTCGTTTGCTTAAGTCTTTATTTCCATCATTATTTTTGTCCAAGTCTGTTGAGTGTTTTCATTGTGATGTTTGTGAGTTTGCTAAACACCATCGTGTCTCTTTTCCTTCTAGAACCATTAAAAGTGTTGAGCCTTTTGATCTTGTTCATTCTGATGTTTGGGGTCCTTCTAAAATTCCTCATGCTTCTGGTAATAAATGGTTTGTTTCTTTCATTGATGATTGCAGTCGTGTAACCTGGGTTTATTTAATGCATGAAAAATCTGAGGTACTACAGATATTCTTTCGATTTTATAAAATGATTGAGACCTAATTTGGAAAAAGAATTAAAAGACTAAGGTCTGACAATGGTATCGTATATGTCAATCAGTGTCTTTCCAAATTCATCCAAGATCAGGGCATGATTCATGAACTTACTTGTGTGGACACCCCTCAACAAAATGGAGTTGCTGAGAGAAACAATCGTTATCTTCTTGAAGTTGCTCGTGCCTTACTTTTTCAGAATCATGTACCCAAATGCTACTGGGGAGATGCCATTCTTATTGCAGCTTTCTTAATCAACCGCTTGCCCTCTCGGGTCCTTGACAATGTAAGTCCTATTCACTCAATGACTTCATTCTTTCCCTCTGTTCCCTCTATGCAGAGTCTTCAACCACGAGTGTTTGGGTGTGTTGTCTTTGTCCACGTTCATAAACATCTTCGCAGTAAGTTGGATCCTAGGGCTCTCAAATGTATCTTCCTTGGTTATGCCTCTCATAAGAAAGGCTACAAGTGTTATCATCCTGCTAGTCGGAAATTCTTTGTCTCAATGGATGTCACATTTCATGAATCTGAGTCCTTTTTCCCAAGTCCTCATCTTTAGGGGGAAAGCAGTTCTTCAGTAGATTCATCACCTTCTATCTTTGAGTTTGGACCTTCCATGCCTTCTCCTACACCTCTTCCTCCTGTTTATGATTCTTTTGTGTCTGACCCATCTGATACATCGAAAATACGGAGGATTGTGACACCTGAGTTGGTATATCAAAGGAGAAAGCAGCCCACACTACTTCACCAGCAACCTCAATCGTCTGAACCACTGGTAAGTCCTGAATCTCTTGTTTCTGATTCTAATATTATTACTTCTCCTGTTTCTGAACCTAATATTGTTGCATCTAATGACTTGCCCGTTGCTTCTGATAGCTTACCCAGTACCTCTGATGACTTACCTATTGCCTTAAGAAAAAGGAAAAGATCTTGTACCCAACACCATATCTCTCATTTTGTCTCTTCTACTAACCTTTCTGTGCAGCACAAAAACTTTATTTCAGCACTAGATTCTATCTCAATCCCAAAATCAGTACATGAAGCATTAAAAGATGAGAATTGGGCTCGAGCCATGCAAGATGAGATGAATGCCTTGGAGAAAAATAAAACATGGGAGGTTGTTGATAGACTTGATAGAAAGAAAGCAGTAGGGTGCAGATGGGTTTATGCCTTGAAATATAATTCTGATGGTACTCTTGAGAGATATAAGGCTCGGTTAGTTGCCAAGGGTTACACTCAGACCTATGGCATTGATTATGAAGAAACTTTTGCCCCAGTTGCAAAGATGAATATTGTGAGAGCTTTGTTGTCCCTTGTTGCCCATTACAACTGGGATATGAATCAATTTGATGTGAAGAATGCTTTCCTTAATGGTGAGTTAGAAGAAGAAGTCTACATGAAAATCCCACCTGGCTTTGGCTCTATGGATGGAGGAAATAAAGTTTGCAGGTTAAAAAAGGCTTTGTATGGTTTGAAACAGTCTCCTCGTGCCTGGTTTAGGAGATTTACTAAGGTTATGCTGACCTTAGGATATAAAACAGAGTCAAGGAGATCACACACTATTCTTCAAGCACTCCCAAAATGGGAAGCTAACTGTACTCCTTGTATATGTTGATGCTATTATTATAACAGGTGATGATATTGCTGAGAAACATTTTCTACAAACATGGCTAGCCTCTGAATTTGAAATTAAAGATCTTGGGAGATTGAAATATTTCCTAGGGATAGAGGTAGCTCATTCAAAGGAAGGAATTTTTATCAGCCAGAGGAAATATGTCCTTGATCTTCTTAAAGAAGCAGGAAAACTTGGGTGTAAAACCCTCTAGTACTCCTATTGAGCAGAATCACAAGATGGGTTATGAAGAGTTGAGTCCTCCAGTTGATAAAGGACAATATCAGCGGTTAGTTGGGAGACTGATATATTTGGCTCATACTAGACCAGATCTTGCTTATGCTGTCAGTATTGTAAGTCAGTTCAT